CACACCACACTCACTCCCCCCACATACACTACACACACACATTAACTCACAGACTCATAAACATGCACACGGATGCACACACACATACACCCACCCGCACGGACTTACACACACAAAAACGCACGCGCGCACGCATACACCTACACACGCACGCACACGTGCATGCACATTCTCACACACATGCACATACAACGCACGCTCGCACAAACGCGCATGTACACGCACACACACACACACACGCTTCCTCATGGAGTTCGTAACTGATACGTAATATTTTTTTAAAATTTATTTATTATTCTGTTTATTTACAGTCTGTTTTCTTAACAAACATTCAGTAAATGTGTTAAATTATGCATTCATTGAAGCTAAAGTACATCGTCATGTGGGTTGTTTGAAACGGAATGGTAATTACAGAATATGGTATCTTTTCAGTCGGTGTTCTTCCTCGCTATTATCCAGTAGATTGATGGCTATGGATTGATGTTTGGCTAACCGCTCTTGGGTGGTGCTACGCTGAGTGATTTCTTCATATATTATAGGTATCTTAAGGTCTCGACGTAGTATTTCATTCGTTACGTACCACGGGCATTGGATAATCTTCTAATACATTTTGATTCGAATCTTCTGAGTATTTCGAATATTTGATTTGCTAACGGATCCCCAGAGTTGAATTATATTGTAATTCAAATAAATCAAAGTCCGCTTATGGCGTCAACTAGAATTCTAATTACTACGAATTACTTAATATTAGAATTCTAGTTGACCCGCCATAAGCGGACTTTGATTTATTTGAATTAACAATATAAAGAAAAAGAATGAAACAAATTGTTTACAGGGTTTTTAAATTGTAAAAATTTCATTTAAATTATCTCAAACACTAATTTTAAAAAAATGTGCAAAGTATATTCTTTTGTATTTTTTTCAATTGTTTGCTTTCGTAATGATAAAAACGTAACATTATTTTAAGAATATTATAGAAGAGTAAGACCTCGTCCTGTATGGACTTTTTTGTTGAAAAATTTGGAGCCGTTTTTACGAAAATGTCATTTAAGCGAAACGTAAATGCGAAATTTGATGCTCTTTGATAGAAAACTTTTGAGTTTCCAAAAACCTTCATCAGAAGTCGTTTGAAGCCATTCACAAATGCAATAATGTACACAAATAGCTGTAAACAAGCCTATTAATTGCGTAAGAGGTATTTCAAAAAAATTATATTTTTGTCATTTTTGAAGAAAGAAACAAAGGAATACAGCAAGAACTAATTATGGCAAAAAAATTTCAATTGAAGGAAAAACCTATATTTACAATTTTGCAGTTGTAGGAAGAAACCGAAAAAAATTCAAAAATTTGCAATTCTCGAAGTTTCAGAGTTAACAGTGAAAAACAGGCCTATGCTACATTTATAAGTGTTTTTACTCAATTCTTTAAAAAAAATTGGCAGTCGCCTCTCAAGACGAGGGACGCGCGCTGCGTCGGCGCTAATTGCGGCACGCGTTGGGTGCAGGTGGGCGTCGTCCACACCCCTCCTCCTCTCCCCTCTACACCTCGCTCCCCATCAACCTCTCTCCACCCCGTCCTCCCCGGCGTGCTTCCGTGTTGTGCGCCGCCCGGCAATGCAGCGGCGCGGAATTTTCAGGAAGACGCTGGTGAGACTAAGGCCTAGGCATTACCACATTTACTTTGGGCTCGAGGAAATTTCTTCCAATATACACCTTAAGATTATATATGCTGTTAAAAATGAAACCTGCCATAAGAGTTCATTTTATTTACAAGCGTTAAAAAGTGTAACGCCGCAATAAGATTTTTGAGCAACGGAAGAGTACATTTTTTATGTTTAGAAGCAAAACAAAGATCTACCTCTGCGTTTGCTTTATGGGTGACCGGGAAGCTGAGCAAACATCTGCCATCAAGAAGGATGTCACAAGCTCTAAAGTTTCGATAATGATAATGATATTTTTACCTCCGAGTAAATTAACTGGCTATACATTTCTATAACAATCGAAAGATGTACTATTTTCCTTTGAAATTCAGGAACTTCATGTATTACGGGATTGTCGGAAAACACAAAATATTATGTTTTCTGTGTTAAAATTCTGCCTTAAAGCGGTAATATAAACTGCGTTAGAATGGCTTCGAAAAGTCCATCAAAACGTGTCTTTCACCAACCGGCCTCAGGGCGTGTTATGTAATATTTAACATTTGTTTTTTGGAGCGAAGAATATTCGTGGCGATTCGGGCGGATCCGTTCGTCCGTCGGTGAACAACATTGTAGCTTACATCGCAACAGGATTTTCCTTGCCGCAATCATGGCTCTGCAAATTTGAAACGAATGTTTTCATTTTCAGGAGAACTTCACATTAAGCTCTTCCGACGGTGGCTCTATACGTTAACCACGTTATTATTCTTGGTGAAATTTATTTTTCAAAATTAGATTTTTAAAATAATTTATTATTTTTTATTTTTGACAAGGGCAAAACCAAAATATAATAAAAGTAGTTTTTGCATTATGTTGAGTCAAATCATTACAATTTTCCAAAACCGCAATGAAGCTTTTCTTTAAAAACATCGCTCTTTTTTCCAAGGAGGTGTCTGGTAATGGAAAATACTATTGTCAGACTCATTTCATATGACCTTGTTTGTGCTGGGGCAGAGACGGATCCTTCTGTATGTAATTGTTCATTTGATACAATAATTACAAACAATATTAAAATAAAGAAAAGTATTCATTTTATTTATTTTCACTGACTATCACATTTTTCTTACTGTATCGTAATATTCTTCCAATGTATTTTGTTTTTAAATAATTATTTGAATCTGATGCAATTTCGTAAAATACTTTTTGACTACAAATACCTAATCACAAAGTGGTTTTGTCATTGTCAGTGTTAAACAATATTGCTTTTGGGTCTGCGGTACTGCCTGAAATATAAGTGGTATTCCATAATAACCGTAGTAACTATACTATATTTAAAAATCGTTATTTTTAAACCTTTATTATGGATAATTTCAGAAGTCAAAGAGAATGGGTTCCAGATTATATCATATATATATATATCAACGCCTGAATAACTCCAGCAACGTAAACTTATATCGCGTTACCAGTTCTAAGGTGGTTCTTGGCAGTAGAATTGTTTGTTGTAATTGGCTGCGTAGTACAGTCACGCTCCTATTCGCTCTCGTGCGGGGAATGAGGGTCTCGGGGTGGGGTGGGGTGGGGGATGAATAGTTCCAGGGCCTCCACGAACTCCCAGGCCGACCTGTCTGGCAATCAAACAGTGTCGTCATATTTCCTAGGGAACAGTAGCTGCGCAGCGGAATTTCGCACCGGAGGTCGAGCCCCAAGAGAGGCGGAACGCTTCTGCGAAGTTTCTGAGTAAGCTTCACAGCCAGCTTTGAATTCATTTTATCTTTGCCTCAGTAAGCTCACTGAGAAGAAACGGGATGTGTTTGCAAATGAAAATGGAAAAGATGTAAACGAATTAATTATAAAACTTATTGTAGTCTCACACATATTTCTGTTTACGTGACCTTTAGATTTAGATTTATTCAGTCAAAAGAAACAGTAAAATCTGTATGTGACGTAGGGAGGAAAAGATTATCTGTGCACGTTTTCTTGAGTTCCAGAATTCCTTCCCGTCATTTCAACTATAAATAGTTGCAAGATAAGCAAAAGTTAAACATAAATAAGTAAAAATAAATTTTAAAAATCGCAAGGTAAGCAATATTTGAAAAATAGTCATTTTCGTTTTTGAGTTATAGAAAACTTATTTGCATCGGTACACGAATTGCAAGTGTAATTTTTCTGCATTGGTAACAAAATAGCAACACGCCCTTACCCGTAGTCTTACCATTATAAGCAAAAGGAGATTTCAACAAAACGTGCGCATAGTGAAGCTACATTTACGTCTAGAAGCAAAACAAGGGCCCATGACAGCTTTTGCTCAATGGATCAGGGAAACTGGACAAAAATCTGATCGATAAGTTATAACCTTAAAGTAAAGGGCAACTGCATGGGCGTGATAGCTACATTGAGCGGGCACATTGTCAGATTTCCGTAAAAACGGATATAGATGACTTTTTTAAAATCGTTTTCCGTATTCAATGCCAGAAATTTGCAAGTACTGTTCTTTCATTGGTAAATGAGTCGGAGGTACTAAATACGTATCCGATATACTGAATGTTTGTTAAGTAACATAAAAATTAGATGACTGGAAGAACGGGAGGAGGTGGTTATATTATTATTGGAATGGGAATTTAATGAATATATTATTTGCAATATTTGACTGAAAAAATGTGACATGAGTTAAAAATATCGTTGTTACGTTACTCCCTCCCAAGAAATACGAGTACATGCAAAATGTCCATAATGTGGGGACACGATAGGCATAGACTGTTACTCTGGTCAGTGAGAGTTTGTTAGAGGAACCATGGTGAAAAACATTGACGTAAAAGGTAAATGTTGATAAATCTATTGAATAATGAAAAAAATATTCAGAAAACTCATGTTGAAATATTCTATACTATAGTTGAGTATGTTGGCAATATATTGAAGAATGTGTATATTGATAACCATTAGATCAAGTTGCTAGGACTTTAAGTACGAATAATGGAGGAAAACATTGCTTATAAAACAAACTATCGTGTTTTGATTGATTCGGAAACATATCATTTTTTAAGTTGAAATTGATGACTATCAACTGAGGGACTTCTGAGAAACTGGAGGGGTGAATTGCAGAGACTTTTAGGTGAATGGAACTCCGCAACTGTTGAAAGAAAAATAAATATCAGTGAAAGTCAAGACGATTTACTGGGCTCTTGCAACCGTCGAGACTGTTAAGACAGATAATGTCAACTGGCGTTGTAGTTTGCGTTTTATTTTTCTTAAACCTAACCTCAAGTGAATTTTGAAGTGCCAAAATTCACTTCATAATAATTGTGATTATACCCTCATTGCGATGCCCGAAATGGAAAACTTTTGATTGATTAGTGATTATAGTGTTATGGTATGAAAGATGGACTGATGGTGCAATGGAATGCAAAGAAAAATTGTGAACACAGAAAAAATACTGGCTCACATTCACTTTGTCCACAACAAAGATCACAAGCCGAGATTTAAATCTTCATTACCAGAGGTGGAAGGTAAATGGTCCGACCACTAGAAAAAGGGTCTCCCCAGAATGAATGTTCTTATGAATACGGTAGGTGGGAGTGATACTCCCTCGCTGTATGGGAAGAGTCGGCGGCGATCTACACGTTGGCTTGTGGGACTTTCCCCATCCAGAGATCTCAGCCAGTGGGACACCACCTCAGCCGTGACTAGTTCTTAGCTCCCGACTGGTCTCCCGACTTGCGTGATAATGTGGTGCATGTAAGTGTGTCTCTGTGTGTAAGATGAGGGGATGTGGCAATAATGATGAACGAAAGATCGCATGGTTTGTAGCCCATTTTCTGGGGTTCTTCTCCGGCATCATTCAGTTCGATTTGATCCGGGAAACCACAGAAAACTATTGATGAGAGTTCGCAGCCGATAGAATTACCGTTCAAGCAGCGGTTGAAGTCATGTTCATATATTCTCTGTTACCCTCTAGTTTGAGTTATTGATATTTGTCCAATATTGATCTTCATAAAATAAATGATTGGACAATATATACAATAGGTATAGCTATGTAGCTAGTGCCGAAAATTTGCCACCGTCGGGAATCGAAGTTAAGAGCCTCCGGCCGGAGTAAAAGCACAGACAACGGTAATGCTGGATCTGCGATAACTCGGGTAGTCATCCGGTGGCATGAAATATTCTACGTATTACGTTTTCTATTTTGCCATCCCACTCACTGACTGCGTAATAAGAGGGTAACACATCCTTCGCAGATTGCTTCCCACCACCGCACACCCTAATTTCCATTTCAAGAAGCGAGCACTGGGGATCGTGTCGGCAGCCCGCATTACGCAGAAAGTGTAATTGGGCAATTTTCATACTATATGTCTTCTCTGCGAGAATCATTGCTTGAAAGTAAGCAATTTATTTTATTACGTGATCTACATTAATGCTCTCCAAATCGGATCTAATGAAGACGCGACGCGTGTCGAAACCGAGTGAATAGAGGACGACGACCCGAAATGAGTCCGTTTGATGAAAGTCATGGGCGAAGAGAACCTGAAGTAGGTAATTGGCGTCTTAATTTCGTTCCAGGTTCGAGAGGGTCGTAAAATTACGAAGGAGACGCCGTGGGCTGTTCTGGTCAGCGCTCGACCGGGGACTTCGAACCGAGAAAATGCTACTGCGTTGAGCGATAACCGCGAAGAGGGTTCTTCAAACTGGTTGAGCGAGCGTTCTGCTAGCTGCGCAACTTTTGCATCAGTTCATACTTGCACAGGTATAGGACCTGGTATCATGAAAGAAGCATAAGTCACAAATAAAAGTTCGTTGAATTTTGGTTAATGTGTTTATTTTTTGGTATGTTTTACAAAGTTCCTAGAACTGCACATGTGAGCATGTGACATTGAATTGGCATTTTAAAATATATTTCATTGAATAGTTTGTTACCCTAAATAAATAGTCATTTTTTGTAGAAGGTCATTGATTCATTATAATTGTATATATTTTTTCTAATATTTGAATCTTAATTTTGGTCTATAAATTATAGAATAAGAAAAATAAATATAAATATATATTTTTTCTTCATAGACGTTTTACACTTTTATATATGCCGTATTAAAACTGTTAGGTACGTAATTTGTGAGCCAACACCTTTTAAAAGCAGACTATTTGTACTCGGACATAACTTTCCTACATAAGAAAAGTGACATCTTAAAATTCGTCATTTTGCACTGTTAACCGACGAAGAACTATTTACATCACAGTGAAAGATAAGTTTTACTTTGGTGTATACCGCCTATACCATTACTCGTAAAGGTTTTACGCGCTCTGCCACACGAAAGGTCACCTTCGTGATTCCAAAGTGTGGGTACTCTAGTTCATAGACCGATAACAAACGTTGGAATCTTTGATCAGCTCAGCCACCAGAGCTGAGTGTAATACGCCAACCAAAGCTATTACTTAAGGAACACAATATTCATTCTGAATGCTTACAGTTGGGTTGATTTATAAGTAATGTGAAGCATTCATTTCTATATTTGTGGTTTTCTTTTTCTATGTTATTATTACCGTAGTATTCATTTGTAGACACCCCTGTATTAGCAGTAATAGACGATGTGTTTTGTATTATTCATAAATGGAGAACACTTTCGTAGAAAAATTGACATTATTTGTGACTCATTTTTCTGAATCACGGTGTAATGACGTGAACAAACGCAATTACTGTATAATTTTCATTGAAATGTACAAATTTCTGAATTATATTCAGCAGTGAGGGCAGTGCGTATTTTTCAGGAATGTGAACGCTTCTGAGGATTAATATATTACATATTTCTATGTATTTCTTAACATTTTAAGCTAAATATTTAAAAAAAATTGAACAATTTTTGTCTGTTTAAACTACACGTACTTCCGAACCTGGTCCAAAAGATTCTAAACTTGGGTTGCGATGTCAGGAAGGTAAAAACGTGGAATTGAGCGTTATAATGAATAAACATCTATCAAACTATTTACCCCACAGATACATTAATAGAGAAGAATGAGATTAAGCAGATTAATCATGATGGCTTAAGAATCTATGATATATACTGTATAGTGCAGAAACAAATTAGAACACAACTTATCAAAAAGCATTTAATTTTTGGCGTTCTGCAAACACTTTTCATATCATGACTAATTCAAACGAAAACATTGTCTTACCGTTTAAGCGCAGGAAAAATCATGAATCCAACAACCAGAAATAAACTTCTTACGGTCACTGCAATCAATGTAAACTGGTATGAATAGTACCAGTTACATTACCTCAGCCTTCTCATTACTAATTCACGCAGTGTACGCAATTAAAGGATAAAAAATGAAATATATTAGGACAGGCGGCGGGGCGGAGGCAAAGGCTGTGGTGGCTGCAAGGTGACCTTTGGCTGGATGCCCGGGACACTTCAGTGGTGGACTGAAAGAAAAAGACCCTGAGGAATCCCAAAGAGGCCCAAAGGAAGAGGCCTAGAGGGAGTGACTGAGTTTGTAATAAATTACGGCTTTCTCTTCGTAATTTTTAAAATAACATTGCATTGGCATATAAAGTTACCAAGATGAAAAGAGTAAGGAACAAAGGAGACGAAAAGAAAAGTTCCCCAACACGCGTGTTTATTAAAAAATAAATTTAAAGTAAGTAGCTATTCTCCGAGCGCCGAACTGACGTAACTGACGAGTTAAGTTTTAAAATTTCCATCAAATATAGGTGTTACAAGATGTCGACGACCATTTGAATTTCTTGACTGTTACGCATGATACGTGACTGTTATTTGTGTAAGGAAGGAAATGAAAAATAAAGAAATACACACCGTGAATTAATAATACACTTAAAAGTACGTTAATTTTATTTTATATGATTGACACTAAGCGCTGAAAACGTTTGTAGCATTTGTCACACATTTATACGAATCTACACAATGTGAAAGGACCAGCTAGAAGTGAGTAACATTTAACAGCTACAACAATACGTTTATAATAGAATTTGTTCATTTATTATTGCATGTTATCTTTATTAAAAAATAAACATACTGTTAAAATGGGAAATTTTTTGAAGTAGAGTTGACAGCGAAAATGAAATATTTCAGGAGACTTTGATGTTACCAACAACTCCTGCGACAATGAGAATACTTGAAACGCAAGAATATCCTGTGGCAATAAATCTTTAAATGGGGATTACTTTCGTTTGCATTTGTTCCGCGGTATCTTGTAGCATTTGCATGAGGTTTTAGTTCGTTACTAACATTTCAAAATTGATTCTTCAATTTGCGAAGTGCTTGCAGGTGAGCGAAGCAAGCCATTTAAGGTGATATATATAATTTATACACTGTATTAAGATATACACTGTAGAAAGAAATTCCATAATCATTAAGAAGAGAAATATTTAAATATTTATGATAATTCTGTTAACACATTTATATCTTAAAAGCGGAATCAGTTGGTCACCACAAAAAAGATCGGGAAAGGAAAAGGTATCGCAACAGGAATTTATTAATTTTACGACCGAAAAAATACCCAATACTTCTACTCTTCTTAGTGTTATTACTAAACCATTATACGGATGTTAATATATGTATGACATCATTGAAGTATCTACAATTTACTGATTTTATGCAGAAAATATCCAAGTCACAAGCATGGTCACCAGTTGAAAACTGGATTATAAAGTTGAAACATACCTTAATATTTCGAGCTCCAATTAGACAGTGTAGCATGTGACTGTAGAGAAGTTAGAAACGTTCTTCATATTCACTATATACAAATACAAAACACCCAAAACATGTTTTTCTTGTCATTCAGAATTTAGAGTCGAAGACAAATTAAATGAGACAGGTTTCGGACCAATACAATAGCTATTTACTGTGAAATTAGAGTTCAAAATATTTTTGAAAATGTAATGGAAATGATTCATATTTACAAAGATATTTACTTGCTGTAATGAAATATGGCATAAAAATCATGTCACCTTCCCGTCAAAACGTAATATTTATATACTTATAAACAATGAATTTTTAGTGAAAAACACAACTGCCAGACGATTGCCAGATCGCGTTTACATACATTAACGAATCTTTGTATTTAAAAACATTCTTCAAACTTAAGAAAACTCGCTATATTAGCTTCTCTAATAACAACCTTACCCTCATCGGCGTCATTGGAGGAGGAAATATGGAATGCTTTCAATATATCGATTATAACTGACACAATGAATTAATAAAAGAATGCGGGAGAAAAGCGTTAATTCTATTCATTTTACAATATTATTAAAATTAATTGTCTATACCAAAGCCACCTAAAATATAGGCCTGTTGGCAGGCGGCCATTTTGGTTCTGACGTTACTGCTTGTAGCCATAACATTACATCGTGTCAAAAGCATGGTCTGCGTATGAATCAGTGTGAACTGAGAAAGTCGTGTATAGAAATTATAGATAACAGTATTTTTATTCATTTTATGGCGTAATAATATCTATAATTTAAATTTCTGCGAACAGGACGTATTTCTATCAGAACAACTTTGTTACAGAGAAGGTAAGTACTTGTAAATACTTGTAAAAACGTTTAGAAGTTCGGGTTATGTGAAGTTGCCGTGCACGTCTACTTTGAAATTGATTTCGTAAAAATTCAGCACCCCCAAAGTGGAGAAAAATCGTAAGGATGCATTAGAGCACATCGGAAAGAATTTGAGTTTCTTGAATGAAATGGACTAGACTGTGGTACTATTAAGGTATTAAAATTTATTGAATGCAAATGTTGACTATAAAGATGGAAGTATGTCGGAACTGCCATTAATGAAGAGGAAAATTCATCTACAGCTTATGTGTTCATGGTAACTTGTATGATTTCATCATATAAAGATGTAGTTTATATATTTCCAGTCAAAAAAATTGGAGTGATTGCAGTGATTTATGACCACAATCCTATGAACGGAAAATACATGTCAATTCTTCCCAATCCTCCAAAACTAGAAATACCTTATGATCGTCAATACAAACTCTATAGAAAATTCCTTTTTTTCTTTTGATAGCATATGCTTCTTGAAGTGCTTAAGAAAAAACTGGTTAAATCAAGGTATCCAAGAAGTTAATTTTCCTGATATTGAAAATGTGTTCTGCATGCATGCATCATGTACTTGCCTCAAAGATACGTGCCGCTCTGAGAAGCACAATATTTTAAAATATTTGTAGTTAAAATTAATTGTTCATTGAATGAAACGTAATAAGATGTTGCGAAAATTAATTTCTGTAAACTATAATTTCTGAGGCGGCGAAGAAGGTACGTAAAAGTTGATTGTGAGCAGCCGGCGAAAGATTCGTTTGCCGCGTTGACTATTCATGTGACGTCACAACGCCAGTCGACAGGCCTTATAATAGTGTCTAGGTGGCATTTGTTTATAATATAATATAGTTCAATTATAGCAAGCAATACGCATCTGGAGCCCAATACATTTCATTTAAGTAAAAATCACGAAATTTGGTTGAGTGCAAAAGTCAAACTCTTTTCTGGTAACGAATCTCGTTAGTACATATACTCGTTAGTACTCGTATTTTAAGTTTAAAGACTTTCACAATTTTTTAATAGATGTTTTAATCAAAACCAGAGCAATCCCATGCATTTATATGCACTTTCTTCTAGTTGAGAAAAAAACAAACAATGTAGAACATTCCTCGTTTTCCAGAAGAACTTGAAACTCTCATAATGAATTCATGCACAGTATCCTCCAAAATTGAGATAACTTAATGCTTTCCAGAACAACTGGTTATTGCTTGTTATGTTTTTATCACGTTTCGGTACAAATATTTTAATTTAACAGAGTTATGTGTGATACACCCATTCAGTCATCCATCTATACATATTTTTAATTGAGAAAGTAATTGTTTAAAAATTGTCAATATTTCACAGAAAATT